CCGTTTCGCGTCACAAAGAAAACTGAAAAACTAAAATATTTCTATTAGATAAGGGTTAATCCTATGTAACATCTTATTAGACTAATCTTGTTCTATTTCAAACGTAAACGAACTAGTGTATTGCCGCGTTGATATGGTTATACCAACGTAAAATAATGCAAAAAGTATATAATCTTTTGTTTGTAATGCTGCGGGTACGATAAATACTTCGATGTCTGAACATGTTTTCGACGAATTATGATACGGAGATGGCGAACTGTTAACTCTCACTAATCGCGTTACACAGATGGTCGAACGTGATTTTTATTATCGGGGTGTGACTCCGTCGAATAATTTAGATATTCATTTTTTATAAAATTGATTGCTTCTTAAATTATTAATAATATATAATTAATATATAATTAACGCCATTGATGGTATTGATAATTTCGTTAGTTACAAGACTGTTGATATCATTTATAAAAAAAGACAGTAAGTTGTACAACAAATGCTATTGATAGTAGTGCACTCTGCCCAGTTTTGTATTTATAATAATAATAATAAATATTATTATTAGGTCATTTCATAAATTGAGCAATTTCTAAACACTTACTATGAATGTACAGTGGTTATGTTATTTAATCATTGATGTATTCATTTTCAGTAACTTTCTTCAGGATTTTCATTAACTGTTTGATTTTCTTTGCAAAATATTTTTAAGTTTTGTATTAAACACTGATTTGTTGCTAATTTGACATGTTTCCCTCAATTGAAATTGTTTTTGGTTAGAAAATTTAACAATGATTCAAATAGGTGGTAATTGATACAGAGCTAGAGGGTATGGTCGGTGTGGTACAACTTAACGATTGTAGATTTTAATATTTTGTAAGGTTATTTTTGCGATGTGCATTGCTATAGTAGAGTACAACACCTATCGCATTCACTGATAATGACTTTCTCTCACATGAAACTGTAATTAATAATTAATTTTAAGAAACATAAGTTAGATAAAAATGTCTTTCCTCTTTGAATAATTTTAATAACTTTTATATAATATAAAAATATATATATATATATATATATTCTCAAACCCTCCTCTCTCGCCTAATGTCTTTACAGTTTTGTTTTACTTTTTGTCAAGAATGTATAAAATCCGCCGTCTGGTAATCAATAAAGTTGCAAGCTATTATATATGAATAATAAGCTTTAATAAATGAAAATATAAATATTAAAGTATAGATACAAAACTTCTAATTACAATATCATATTACTTCTGCAGTACAAATTGGAGATGAATTAGAACAATTTTTGATACCCGTTCCACAAATTGTATGAATTACTCACATTCAGATTATAGGATATCGATGTAATTAACATGTTTTTGTAGATAAACTATTTTCTTAAATGTAACTACATCTATGGCATGTGAAAATATAATTTCATGGCAACTTCAAATATCATATAATTTTAGTTTAATGATAAAATAAAGAAGGACGTCATTAAG